TTTGCAGGGGGAAAAAGTAGAAATAATTATGATACATAGCTAATTATTTTTTTTTTTTTTTACTAGAAAGATGTCCAGAGATTTGTTTTTGCCGACGCTTCAAAATTTGGCGAAAATGCGACACAGCATTATCGTTAAATACATTTGCAACGCGCATAGCCACTTTCTTATTAGGGCGATGCTTTTCAATGTAAGATGCAACAGTTTGTCATGCTTTCAGCATTTCTCTTATTTCGCCAGAAAATTGTTGCTTTTCTGTTACCTCCTCCTCTGACAAACTTTCCTCAAAAACGCAGCTTTTGGCTGTGTTCTTCCACAAGCTCTTTGATATCATTGTTATCCACCTACAACCTCATGATAGTGGCCAAAGACCCAATCTCGTCGACAACAGGTTTCACTGTCTGGAACCCCTCAAAGTCACAAAATAGACAACACTCTCCGGCCAAAGCTTCTTCCAAGCAGAAGTTGAGATTCTCTTGGTAACCCCTTCTCCCGCCTTGTCGATCATCTTGAGGCATGCAACGATGTGGACGTGATTTGTCTCTAAAACTCTTTGAGGGTGAAGTTGGTCCCTTCAGTCACCTGAAAACAATGCTCGAATAGTGCTTTAGTGTAGAGTTTCTTAAAGTTAGAAATAACTTGCTGGTCCATGAGCTGGAGTAACGGAGTGGTGTTGGAAGTCAAAAATTGGATCTTGATGAACTTAAATTCTTCAGAGAGGTCATTTTGTAGGCCTGGAAGATTCATGTTCATATTTCACAATATGACACGTGTTTGAGAAGATGTGTGATCACAAGTGACGCTACGATGCTACTGGAACGAGTGCTAAACACAGACTGATGTAACATGCGCACAATTTGGGACTTCCCCTCTCCTCGTCACTCGTTATGCGAAACGTCGCTCGTTAAGCAAGTCATTTTTTTTACAATTTGTTTTGCTAGTTATGTGAGTTACTCGTTATGCGAGGTGCTCGTTATGCGAGGTGCTCGTTAAGCGAGGTTCTACTGTATACGGATGGACGTAGGGACGGAAGGACAGATAAACAGACAGACGGACAGAATGTAGGATGGGCAGTCAGACAGACAGACAGATGGGCGGGCGGGCGGGCGGGTGGCCGTCTGACACTCAGACGGACGGACAGACAGGCAGACAAAGCAAGAGTGAGACACTAAGGAAGTATAAGGTGTGGCAAGGAGAGTGAGCAAACAGAACGGGAGAAAGAGAGGGGAAAGAAATCAGAGAGCCACAGGAGAGAGAAAGAAGAGAGAGAGAGAGAGAGAGAGAGAGAGAGAGAGAGAGAGAGAGAGAGAGAGAGAGAGAGAGAGAGAGAGAGGCAGAACATGGCTAAAAATAATCACAACAATAGGGTTGCAGGATACTGCGCGCAGGAACACGTGCCATTGTGCGCTTATTCCCAGCTATTTCGCACTGAATCAGAATACACTGTACACGGGTGGGCTGAGCGAGGGAAAATTCGTCGCTGTGTCCTAAAGCACACGGCCAAATGGTCTTATATCTTTCAGACGGTCGTGGACAGTGTCTGCATCTCGCCACAATCTCCAAGCATAATCTATTTATCAGATCACTCAGCGTTCAGTGGAATGGACACTTTCTGATAGCCACGATATTCTATTTTCGCTTCAACTTGACAGATTTTCCTATGTTATGTTATCCCAAAAGACTTCAGTGTACACTAGACACTCCAATAAGTGCTCAGTTTTCCCGACGCAGCAGCTATCCCAAGGAACCTCTAATGGTATTCTCATAAGAAAAAGGTTATAACATCTACCTTTACCTAGAAGATGGCACAGACTGGCTTCACCCGGCTTTACTCCCAGGTCATGTAATCAAGTTAGAATGAGACTCGTCATTTTTTTCTTTTAAAGGGACATGAACAGGACACACGAATCATATTCCTACCTGGCCACATGCTCATGCACTTAACATGTGAGTATTTCGGGTTCATCATTTTTTTACTGCTGTCATACTAAATGTATCCGTTTTATAGCTGGACTACTCTTTCTGCAGTTTCCTTTTATTAGCTGTCTATAGGGCTAAATTTCCAACGCGTGTAAATGAAGGTTTTAAGTAGACCTTCTGATTTATTGATAATTTGGTTTTGGACCTTTTGGACAGTATTTCTTAAGAAGACCTATGGAAATTGCATTAAGGGCAGGAAAGCCAGTGAGTTAAATGAAACACGATTTTCAGCAAACAGCACGGTTATTCAGCTGTCTCTTCCAGTCTAAGTCACAGAGCACCATGTTCCAGGGACGATAATAGGCCCACTGCCCCCATAATAGGCTAATAATGAGGAGCTGAGTGTAATCCGATGAGTTGGACGAAAAGGTGCAGATACATCTACCTAGCTGTCAATCACAACACAACGTACCAACTGACTTTTTATGGGCAAACGGAGGAGAAGAAGATGACGATAATTATGATTATGGCGATGCAGCAGCAGCAGCAGCAGCAGCAGCAGCAGCAGCAGCAGAAGAAGAAGAAGAAGAAGAAGAAGAAGAAGAAGAAGAAGAAGAAGAAGAAGAAGAAGAAGAAGAAGAAGAAGAAGAAGAAGAAGAAGAAGAAGAAGAAGAAGAAGAAGAAGAAGAAGAAGAAGAAGAAAAAGAAGAAGAAGAAGAAGAAAAATAAGAAGAAAAAGAAGAAGAAGGAGAAGAAAAATAAGAAGAAGAAGATGATGATGATGATAATGATGAAAAGGCTAAGATCAAGCAAGCACAAGAAGAAGAGATTCGGTAGTGGTAAAAGTGCACATGGAAACACCGAATTATTCGCCATGGTAAAAGACTGCGATAATGGCAGGGAGAGGGAAGGCCTGGCAAGTAGATCCAAACAGCCCTCATGTTGCACATGGTCAACAACTAGATTAGGTCTCTAGATGCAAGTGATTTAACATAACACATATTCGTTTTGTGATTGCTGTTTTCGTTGTTAAATATGGCTGATTGCGTATGTTAAAGCGCTTGTGTGTGTATATATATATATAGGTGTTTGTGTGTATGGCTGCGTGTATGTATTGGTGTTTGGAGTTTGTATGCATATTAGTGTAAGTATGTATATGTATTCAGGTGTGAGTATCTTTGCGTGTGTATGCATGAATGCGTTTGTATGCAAGCGTGTATGTATGTGGGCATATGCGTGTGTGGATGTATGTGTTAATGTATATCTGTGTATGCATACATGAGATTGTATGAGTGTGTATATATATATATATATATATATATATATATATATATATATATATATATATATATATATATATATAAGAGTTTGAGTGCATATATGGGTGCTTGTATCTGTCTGTATGAGCTTGAGTGTATGTGTGCATTTAAATGAGGGTATATGTATGAGCGTGTGTATATATGCAAATGTATGGGTGTGCTTGTTTCTGTCTGTATGAGCTTGAGTGTATGTATGCATTTAAATGAGGGTATATGTATGAGCGTGTGTATATATGCAAATGTATGGGTGTGCTTGTGTCTGTCTGTATGAGCTTGAGTGTGTGTATGTATTTAAATGAGGGTATATGTATGAGCGTGTGTATATATGCAAATGTATGGGTGTGCTTGTGTCTGTCCATGTATAGGAATATAGGAGTGGACAAGTATACTGGGAGTGTGTATGATTGTGTATATATGATGTGTGTATGTATTATTTCATAGTGCATACTTTTATATAAACATAACCTGCATTACTGATAACATGCAATTCTGGTCTGAAAGATCAGTGCCTGGAATGGCCGAACGTAAGACGGGCCTGTGTGCCCAATTTATAATCTTCTGAAAACAAAGATGCTAGTTTCTTTCGTTCGTTCATTATACATGTTGATACCTTTCTGTTATTCCATACGAGTGCTATACTGTGCAATGAGGAAGCATAGGATTCACAGCCCATGGCGATGGCGAGTGTGACTAGCAAGACTCGCCGGCGTTCAGCATTAAAAAGCATCTTCCACAATTAAAGCATTGGATGTCAGGACTGTTGATGTCAAAATCTGTAGTTAGTGTCTACGTTCTCAGACGACCAGCTGTCTACATTTAGGTAATAATTTCTTCCCTCATTCTCATATCCCTCCTAGTGTGCCCCCCCCCTTTCACCCCCGGGCCGCCACATGATCCTTAGCACCTCTATAACTGTATCAGTCATGCCCCGCTTGCAAACATCTGTATATCGTAGCAGAGGTCGATATCAACATCTTCTACACATCTGTAATTCATCACAGAGAATGTCCATAGGGACTCCCACCTTTCTCTATTCTCCAGGCGTGACACACCCACCTCAGCCTTCGTAGACTATGCATTGTTATATAACTGTCTTACACACACACACACACACACACACACACACACACACACACACATATATATATATATATATATATATATATATATATATATATATATATATATATATATATACACACACACACACACTCACATACAATTGGCCCCGGTTTTATTATTTATGATATTCATGTTAATATAATTAATATTACGGTTATGATTGTTCTGCTGCCGGTATGACCTTTATGTACGGTTCCTGTCTGTTATTGTTAACTGTTACCATTATTGCTGCTGCTGCTACTACTACTACTACTACTACTGCAACGACTACAACAGGTAAATAACAACCACTACTACTATTACAGTTGCTGAAACTTATTCTCTTACTTATTCACTTTGTAGTAGTAATACTACAAAATGGCAAACAGAATGACGACAAAATCAAAAACTGCTACTGCTACTTCTACTTCTATTACCACGACCACCACCACTACTACTGCTGATAATAATACAATTACTACAGTTGTTGCTTCTTATAAGCTGCTTCGTCTACTGTAGCAGCAGTATCAAGTATACCTGATTGTGCACACTGTGCGACGTCTACAAATGATGTAGAGATGTATATAGCTGGTGCCCAGTCTTTGATGTTAATAAGTTTACAGAAACGACAATTTAATCAAGCACGGAAGCGACTCTTACCTGACGTTGTCATGGCGTTGTATGTAGATTTTATGGAACATCGATTCTCTCTTGTTTTCTGCTATATCAGCTTTCATCTCCAAAGCAACGTGACGAGGCAATACTGATAGGAGAAGGCGCTCCTAGAAAGAGTAAAACGGTACTGTTTAAACATAACCAGGCAACTACAAATCAACGGCTGTCAATGTTCTACATACAAAGAAGACCATATTCTAACATATAATCTTATTCTGAACTGTTACAACATTAACACACACATAAACATACACGCACAAAAACAAAGATAATACTTGATGCATGTAATGTTCTATCACTTAGCACATCAACATAAACACCCCGTCCCTATCTTCAGCAGCAAGTGCAGAGTTCCAATTCCGTTGGCAGCAGTAACAGTCTGGCTGCCATACAATATCATATGTATGTGTGTGTCATGTATGCATACAGAGTAAAACTTCGACTAACCGTCACCGTCTGGACCAGGGCAATGACGGATAAAATCTCTAAATACTTACAGGCAGGTGGAGTGGGGCGGAAAAAAAAAACAATCCTCTAAAAGCGAATAATACATACCTATTGCATTTAATTTTACTAAATGATCAATAAAAACTTCAATGATAAAGTATTAATGTACAGAAAGGTATTGTAGTACAAAAAACCTATGTTGTTTAAAAAAAAAAATATTCATTTCCTTCTGTGTTTTTGAGGCTCCAGCTTTCTGCGCGGTTACTTTCAATATGTTACGTAGAAGCAGGAACTGTAATGACTGACTGACTAACGTTCTACCCCACCAGGACATCACACAAGCGATAAACACCCGATGACACCAAGTGCCACCATGTGGGTGAGGATCACCGTGGAGAGGTCCCAGAAACCGAGTTCAGCCTTCAGGCCATATTTATGACCAGGCTATATTGCGGCCCCTGGCAAGAGCCAGAGTAGGGCTTCAAATGATGAAACATTTCGTCCTGAAAAAGAAGGACAGATATTAAACTGTATTGCATTTGCCTCCTCTTAAATTTCAAACCTGTCAATGAACTCTGAAAACATTGTTTCTACTTCTGAGTGGCTAGTCGTAGACTTGTGCATAAGAACTGATATTTCACACACTTCATTTTTTAAGACAGAAAGTGACGGTTAAAAGAGTGACGGTTAATCTCTTTCTTCCTCTGTTGCTGTATCTCTTCCTTTCTGTCACTGTCTACCCCCTCCCTTTTGATATATCTCTTCCTTTGTGTCACTGTCTACCCGCCCCCACATCTTTCTTGTTGTATCTATTCCTTTCTGTCACTGTCTACTCCCTCCCTCTTGATGTATTTCTTCCCCTGTCTCTACCCCAGCCCCGACATCTCTCTTGTGGTAACTCTTTCTATGTGTCACTGTCTACTCCCCCCCCCCCCACCACATATCTCTAGCTGTATTTCTCTTCCTTTCTGTAACTGTCTATTCCCTTCCTCTTGCGGTATCTCACCCTTTTTGTCACTGTCCAAATCCTCCCCCCTCCCCCTACTCTTTCTCTCTCCCCTTTTCTTGCTGTCTCTTTCTTTCTGTCACTGCTCTCTCTCTCTCTCTCTCTCTCTCTCTCTCTCTCTCTCTCTCTCTCTCTCTCTCTGTGTATCTCTTCCTTTGTGTCACTGCTTACTAGGGTTGTATCAAATAGTGATTTTCACTATTCGGCGGAATGCGACTAGCGGAAGCAACTATTCGGCCGAATACGAATACGAATAGTGTATCATGATTAGGTGCCTTGTCGACTGGCGTAGGCGATTATGCCTCGCCATAATCTGAGATATAGCACAGCATATATTAATTAGTTCGTGTGCTGACACAACTCCATACCATGCAACAAGACTGTCAAGAATTTTCTCTCGTAGTCTTCCTCTGTCTCTCCTTTCACAGATCTTTCCAGTGGTCACCACATGTTCCATTTTCCCTTTCCTCATAATATGGTCGAAATATGATGACTGTCTCCATCTGATGTCTGTGATTAGTTGTCTTCGGGCTCCCGCTTTTTCCAAAAACCTCTTGGTTGTTCTTTTTTGCTGTTTGGCTGCCCACGGTATTTTAAGCATTGTTCTTGCCAGCTGCTGTACCACGCAACCGGGTCGAAGTTTCCCCCGCTACGACAGACTAAGGCAACAGCAACTATTGTGTTAATGAGAGAGTTATTTCAGTCCATCGCAGTGTATGCAGAAACGAGTGTAAGGTAACCACTATTCGTATTCGGCCCGACCGCAAGTGTTCGGTCGAATATGGAATAGTTATTAGGGCCACTATTCGGCCCCAAAGCGAATACGAAGCGAATATTCGGTACAGCCCTACTGCTTACCCCCCTTTTCACATCTCTTTTCCTTTCTGTCACTGTCAACTTCCTCCCTCTTGCTGTATCTCTTAATTTCTGTGACTGTCTACCACCTCTGCTCTTGCTGTCTATCCCCCTTCCTATCACTGCCCCCTCCACCTCCGATGTCTATCACCCATCCCTTTTTTAACTATCGGCTGCCTTGTGACAGAGAGTGAGTGAGGTGGAGAGGGGATATGGAGAGAGACAGAGAGTGAGTGAGGTGGAGAGGGAGAGGAGAGAGATGGAGAAGAGTGAGTGAGTGAGAGAGAGTGAGGGGATATGGAGAGAGACAGAGAGTGAGTATGGAGAGGGGGATGGAGAGAGACAGAGAGTGAGGTGAGTGAGGTGGAGTGAGGGGGGAGATGGAGGGACAGAGATGGAGACAGAGAGAGAGAGTGAGGTGAGGTGGAGAGGGGAGATGGAGACAGACAGAGAGTGAGTGAGGTGGAGAGGGGAGATGGAGACAGACAGAGAGTGAGTGAGGTGGAGAGGGGAGATGGAGACAGACAGAGAGTGAGTGAGGTGGAGAGGGGAGATGGAGACAGACAGAGAGTGAGTGAGGTGGAGAGGGGAGATGGAGAGAGACAGAGAGTGTGAGGTGGAGAGGGGAGATGGAGACAGACAGAGAGTGAGTGAGGTGAGGATGGAGGAGACAGAGAGTGAGTGAGGTGGAGAGGGGAGAGACAGAGAGTGAGTGAGGTGGAGAGGGGATATGGAGAGAGACAGAGAGTGAGTGAGGTGGAGAGGGGATATGGAGAGAGACAGAGAGTGAGTGAGGTGGAGAGGGGAGATGGAGAGAGACAGAGAGTGAGTGAGGTGGAGAGGGGAGATGGAGAGAGACAGAGAGTGAGTGAGGTGGAGAGGGGAGATGGAGAGAGACAGAGCCAACGAGAGACATACAGAAAAAGGGCAGTGGGAGAGAGAGACACACAGGAAGAGAGGAGACACACACACACACACAGAGAGAGAGAGAGAGAGAGAGAGAGAGAGAGAGAGAGAGAGAGAGAGAGAGAGAGAGAGAGAGAGAGAATATGTAAACGTATGGCTAAAAAAAACCACAGCCTTAACGTTGCACAATACATGCTGCATTGTTTGGTTATTTCAGGCTATTCTGGACTGTTAAACCGAACGGTAAACATTCAGACTTAAATAATATTCAAGTTATTAATGTCATGTTTTTTAATGTGCAAGTCTTTTAAGGCATAAATCATTAACGGTACCACAACAAACGTGGCCCGTAAGCAGGTAGGTCATTCTCACCTGTCGTTGATTTTCCTTCTGAGTCTCCAGCCTAACGATAATACAGTTCCTGGTCTCCGAGAACGTCTGCCGCTGTTCCACTTCCAGCGGGTAATGAAAGAAAATCCCGATAACGTTGACACAAATGTAGAACATCAGGCTTTCTATTACCTGCAAGTGTCAAACATACAAAACCTTACGATTAGACACCAAATAAACATGATGACAACAACGGTCCTGATATCCCATGCTATAATTGTGGAAGACTTTCCCTAACGCGGGCGGGTCTTGCTAGTCACACTAGCCATCCGCATGAACTGTGAGTCTCATGCCTCCTAATAGCTAAGTATAACACAATCGTCTGGAAAGACGGATAGGTGCCAACAACAAACCGTTAGGAACATACTGGAAAAGGCTGTGACCAACGGAAAGATGTGCAGAAAAAAGAGACAGATCAAGGACCGCGGAAATCAATGCGAGACGATTGTTTGCAGCCTATTGTAAAGGCAATGAGGGGTGTTAACACACGGACTGGTAATACGTGCTGTTGCAGACAGTAGATGCAGAAGAGGTATGATGGCCGACGTCACCTAGCAAGGCACTTGATGATGATGATGGCAATTAGAGAGAGCTGTGGTAGCGTAGCGGTTCACGCTCGCCTGTCGACCGGAAGGTCTCTTGGATTGGAGTCCGCACTGGAAGAAGTGAAATACAAAAATGAACTTGGCTCTCAGATCGACCGAATCTAAACTGGGTGTTCGGTAATGTCCCTGCAAGTTAAGGCGTGCGGTTTGATGATCTGCACGTCAACCATTGAAAGCCAGTTGGTCTTCACCAGCGGTTCTCAACCTGCGAGTCGAAAGATCCGTTCACAGGGGTCACCACAGACCATATTCACTGGAGCTATGAATTATCAACTAAAATAACTGTATGGTTGGGGGTCGCCAACACATGATAAAAACTGTATTAAAGGGTTGCCGCATTAGGAAGGTTGAGAGTCACTGGTCTACACAAATATGTCTAGTATCCTATTCCCGATCGATCTCTTGGACAGAAACGGTCCTTTACTATAAGTAGGTCATCAGTGCTAGGTGTAGGCATATGCGAAGCTGCAGCTTTGGACCTCACATTGTGCTGGAGTCTCCACAAAATTCCTACTCGCTTTTCCTTTTTCCAATTTTCTCTTAATGGAGTATTTAAAAATACTATAACAGACTAATTAAGACTATTTAAGAAGATCATATAATATAATTTCGGTATAAGTAAAGTAAATTAAAGATCCCTTTTCATGCCTTAGGTGCATCGGGCATATGGAAAGAGCGTTCCATATTTTTACAGACCAATCGGCACTGGCATTACGCCGGCCGTCTTTACTTCCCCAGGACAGCCACCCTGGTACCTTTTAGGCTGGGTCGACCTGCGACGCCCTATACCATAATAAAAATCAACGCAGCCAGCAGTGGGTTTCGATCGCGGTACGCTGGAATTACAAGTCGGACTCGCATAATTTCGGTATGCTGGACATTTACCTGAAAATGTAATGTTTGCGAAGTAATACGTCCACTAAAGCATGAGTAAGCCATACTAAAAACTGCGCATATATCATCGTTAGCCGAACAATTTCATTAACCGATCATTCATTCATTAGCAGAGATAGCACTGTACTATTACTATTTGCTTCAATCTGTGTCATAGTGGTACTAAGCCGTTGGAACCTGAAGGCGCAGGCACCTTAAGAGGTAGCCACTCTAAGCAAGAACACATGTTCTCTTCATAAGTTTGTTTATATATCTATTGGCAGCCGCCATGGTGTCGCGACAAGACGCTCACCTGTGGATCCGGTGGTCACGAGTTTAAGTCTCGACAAGGCTAAACTGTTTTTTTTCTTTTAAAAAATGACTAATGTTCCCAGGTCTACCAAGCCTTAAATTGGTACTGGGTAAAGTACTCGGAGGTTAAGGTAATGTTGACCTCATCGCCCACCGAGTGCCGACTGGTCTTTAAAATAGACGTCTAGCCCTATATGCCCAATAAGCCTGAGGCGTCGCAAAGGGCCCTTTACTTACCTCACCTATATATTTCATATTATATACAATATATAATTAATGTTTACAATAATAAGTGCATCATCATCATCACTGCACTCTTAACAGGGAGGGTTTCAGCCCCAAAGCTCTTATTCTAAAACAGCCCCAAAGCTCTTATTCTAAAATGTTACTAAAACTGGAGACACTTGGTGCTAGTGAATGCCATTTTAAACCAGACTAGTGCTTCATTTGTTCCTCTTTCAGTACTGCCGCTGTTTTATTTTTAAAGAAAGCAGTAGCTTGCCTTGAATGCCGCCGATATAACGGTGGAAACTTCAAGGAGTCTCCTTACTTGTAGCCATTGTCCCGGGTGTTATTTTTACAGGCGGGTATATTTTTAGCTAGTGTAATCACCAGACTGAGAAGACATGTCTGCCTGTGGGTAAACTAGACTGTTTGCCTACGTGAGCCTGGAGTCTACTGGAACAAGGAGTTCAAACACTAATATATATATATATGGAACACTAATATATATATATATATATATATATATATATATATATATATATATATATATATATATATATGGAATACTAATATATATATAAGTGAAAGATCAAGACAATGGTGCATGTCTCCTAAACAGACGGTTAGTTATTTTGAATAGGGAGCTTGATGAAGTCTCTGTACATCCAACTACACTCCTGTTAGGGCGCTATTATGTGTCACTCATTACTTGTACAAAATGTCGAGGGAGCAATCTGTAGCATGGGATGTAATACACAGAGGAATGAACCGAGACTGATTATAATCAATCGTTGTTGACGATCTAGACGTAACATTACTTAGTTGCTTGTGCTCATGTTTGTGTGTCTGCCACCCCCTCCCCCTTCCCGATGTGTGTGTGTGTGTGTGTGTGTGTGTGTGTGTGTGTGTTTGTGTGTGTGTGACACATACAGAGAAAGAGATAGAGAGACAGATGATGATTATGTAATATGTATGTATGTTGTCTGTAATATGTATGTTATGACGGCGGGGTGTTTGTGCAACGTATGTGTGTATATTAGTATATGTATGCATGTATGTGTGTGTGTACGCAAGTAGGTAATTAGGTACGTACTTAAGTAGGCGGCGGCTTAAACTGAAAATCTTAAAAATGTGATATAAAATAAATAAACCTGCAACTGTCTCGCTCCCACTTCGACGGCAAAGACCTCGTTTCTCTTCATCAAAATTAAGCGCGATATGCGTTATTGCTGCAGCCTGCCCTACTGCCTGACCTTTCGGCACACTCAATAGTTGACGATGGTAGGGTAGACGTGGATATCCAAATGGAGGTCGCTGAGAGCACTGCCTTCTCTAATAATGCCTAACAACTGAATCACGATACATTTTGGCTGAGTATTCTCGAAAATAGGTTACTTGAAGCGTTTCCAAGTTGCATTGTATGAAAATATAATCTGCTTACAAACTTCTGTGTTCTAATTGTATTCGTATTACAAATCGACAAGCGGATATTGTAAAGTGGATATACAAGATTTTCATACTTTGTTGTTAGATTACAGCAATTTTAATTTTAATTTACGGAAAACAGTCGTTTTGTGATGTGTGTGTCACTGTTTCTAGTCAGTAGTTCGAAGTTTGGGGAACTGGCTGTTTATTACCTTTCTACTTTAAATGTAGAAATCTTACTTTTAGGGAAAATACAAACAGGTAATTTAGAAGCCATATCTGGAGAATATCGACAGTTTTGTCAGGTGCAAACTATCTTGTGTTGGAAGAAAACTATTGCTTTCATATTGACTGTGCATAAATGGTGCAACCACTCTGTTGATAAATTGTGTCAAGATATTTCGGAGCTCTAGGTAAGTGGATAAAAATAATATTTAATTTACTAACTAACCTCTCACAGCAAGTCAGTCTTTGCCTCTTTACTAATTGTTGACTAACAGTATAATTATATGTTGTAGCAGTACACTAATAATATTAATCCCTAACCAGTTGACTTATACTTCGCGAACACAGGCTGTAAACTCTTGCGGATACTTCTTGTTGTTCATCCACTTCTTATGCATATTTGCAGTTGTACGGTCTGTGTTATTTTTGTAAACTGACTTTTGCTTTGCTTCACGAACACTGGCTGTAAACTCTTGCGGAAACTTCTGGTTGTTCATCCACTTCTTATGCATATTTGTTACCAAAAAATTCGCAATGACAAGGAATTGATTTCATCCAACAAGATGAAACTGGACAAATTTGTTTGTGCTGTTTGTAAATTGAGGATACATATTTAGTAGTGCTATAAGTACTGTTAAGAAAAATACTCTGGGTGAAGAAAGTATTGCACATATCAATTTCATACTGATTGTGCTTGTTTACTAATTATTAAATAACAGTATAATTATATGTTGTAGTAGTCTACTAATACTAATAATAACCATCAATCATTTATTTTTATGTTATGTATGCCATGTGTATGTTTCATAGCAGTATTTTAATGCGCTAAATGTGATAAAGTACAAATGTCACCCCCCCCCCCCCTCCCGCTCCTCTGATGCAACAATATCCTCTCAGAATCAAAGAGTTAGCACTGATATTTCTTTACTTTTGCTGGAACAACTTTTAGTTTATATCTAAACGATATTGATGTTTATGTTCATGTTGACTGTAGCAAAAGCATTTTTGTTTGTCTATAAGGGCCTTTATTGTTATATTTAATTGGCACACTTATTTACCTTAAAAATGAGGTCTGGTTTTATAATATATGTCGAGAATTAATGAAACTGTAGTTTAATTTGTGTATACATCTCCTCGATAAAAACTGTGGACGCAGAGGGACTCAATTCTTGCACAAGAACGGGAATCCCCGTTGACCTGTTAGGCCTATAAATAGAGAAGGTCGTGGCTGAGAGAAGATGAATCTATTCTTCGGGACAACTAGTTACCCTTCGTTTGCCCCATTTCAAAGATGCTATCGCTTATATATTACTCCAGCGAAAGGAGTAGAATATATGATAGAAAGAGCAAGACAGACAGTAGTAGCAATATTCCTGTTGTGGGTTCTGGGGTCCTATTGTGGGTAGGAGGAGAAAGATCAGATCCACTGTCTCATAACTAACATGTCGTGACAGTCGACTAATGGCG